GGGTGTAGGCACAGGGGATGTGGGTGTAGGCACAGGGGATGCGGGTGTAGGCACAGGGGATGCGGGTGTAGGCACAGGGGATGTGGGTGTAGGCACAGGGGATGTGGGTGTAGGCACAGGGGATATGGGTGTAGGCACAGGGGATGTGGGTGTAGGCACAGGGGATATGGGTGTAGGCACAGGGGATGTGGGTGTAGGCACAGGGGATATGGGTGTAGGCACAGGGGATGTGGGTGTAGGCACAGGGGATATGGGTGTAGGCACAGGGGATGTGGGTGTAGGCACAGGGGATATGGGTGTAGGCACAGGGGATGTGGGTGTAGGCACAGGGGATGTGGGTGTAGGCACAGGGGATGTGGGTGTAGGCACAGGGGATGTGGGTGTAGGCACAGGGGATGTGGGTGTAGGCACAGGGAATGTGGGTGTAGTCACAGGGGATATGGGTGTAGGCACAGGGGATGTGGGTGTAGGCACAGGGAATGTGGGTGTAGTCACAGGGGATATGGGTGTAGGCACAGGGGATGTGGGTGTAGGCACAGGGGATGTGGGTGTAGGCACAGGGGATGTGGGTGTAGGCACAGGAGGTGGGTGTAGGCACAGGGCATGTGGGTGTAGGCACAGGAGGTGGGGGGAGGCACAGGAGGTGGGTGTAGGCATAGGAGATGATGGGTGTCCCACGTAGCAGAGAACAGTGAGTGGTTAAACTCACTGGGAATACCCTCCCCTAGGCTAGAAGGACGCCCTTCTGAAAAAAGCCCTCCAGACAAGCTTGGAGATTATCACATGGGTGTGCAGAAGAGATGAGATACATTTACTTTTTTGGTGTATAAAAAAAGCCGTGTGTTCTGGGGAAGGTGTTCTTGATTTGTGGGACTCCACCAAGCACCCTGCATTGCACAACTCTGCAATTAACAATGTCTTCTTCCTATGTGTAGCCTCTTTGTCTGTGTATGGGGAGCTGAGGTAAAATGGTAACACTGGGAGGTCACATCCGAGTGAAGGAAGCACAGAAATGTTACACTGAACTACTCCAATACAACTCTGGCATAACTTCTTACAAGTCTCTGAGGCCTTTTTAAAGTTAAGGGTATTGCAAGACTGTCCCACCTTGGGACTACCTAGTACTGCAGAGCAATCTGAATCACCCTACAGGTTTTGAAACCTGTGCTTTTGATTGGATGTTGCGACACTGGAAAAGATTGGATGTTGAAACACTGGAAAAGGTGCCTTAAAGTGTTGTCAAAAGTGTGGAAAAAATGCTTGGAATGGCTGCAAGATCAAATATGTAAATAGGTCAAACTTACCAGAGGAACACTAGGTGGTGACTTGGCTATATAGCATGAGTGCTAATACAGAGAAAAAAGAATCAGAACTGAAGAGGTCTTGAAGTTAGTGAAGGAAGGTGTCACAAGAACCTTGCATGAATTCAAATAAGACACAGCTGTGAGTTTGACCGACCAGTAGAACAAGCTACCAACAGAGCAGATCCTCTATGTGCATCTTCATGTTAAAATTGGTGACTTTCAAGGACATATTATTTAAATGCAGATTTTGCCCCAGTTGCAGAAAAAATTCTGAGCTCAGTAACTGGAGTTTAGATTAAATTCAATGCCTTGTCATGCATGGTAGGAGAGGATATCTGTATCTGTGGGCTACAAGATACAAGTCCATGTACTCTCTATGCAAAAAAGTTAAACATAGTTTAACTGTTTTATACCTGACAGGGCACCTGCAAGATCCTGAAAGATCCATTGGTGTGTTTGAGAAGACTGCAAGAAGAACTCTTTCATGTGATTATGCTGGAAAAGGTTTGTGGAAGAGATTTTCCTGCCATTTGGAGTGGAAGAAGGGACTTTCCAAGTTACTTTGGAAGCTTGTTCAGCAAAAGGAGGAGTGGCCATGGGATAGACAGGGATGGCTGCAGGTAGAGAGTAGGATTTGTTTGAATTACTGTGTTTTTGAAATGAGAGTGAGTCTTTCTGCTTGATGCTGTGGGTTGCAGTAAATAAATATATAAAAAACAGATTTGTGATAATAAATAGATTTCCAAGATTTCATTTTGAGTTTAGAAAGAAAGGCAGTCTGTGTTGCTCCAAAAATACACACTCCCAGACACATGAGAATTTATCAGAAAATGAACAGAATTGCTTTTATGTTTCTCCTCTCTGTTTTCTTTTTTGTCTGTGATTAACAATAGACAGGGTGCAACTGTGGGCAGAACAGTTCAAAACTAGCCCAGAATTGAAAAGGAAACCTGAAAAATACCCTGTTGCAATCTACTCTTACATTCACAATGTGTGTTAATGTGTTCTCAGAGTTAGGGCCTTGGTGTCTTTTACCTCACAGGGGTGAGCAGAGATGAGCCCTGCAGGAGAGATGACAATGGCCATCCTTTTATTTCCTCTTGTTCTCCTAGCTCAGGGAAGTACACACTTAACACAGTTATAAGAAGGGAACAGCATCAGGAATTCCTGCTCTCTTTTGCCTGTTCTGAGTTGCACCTGGTGGTTTGGTGGTGGTTGGTTTCCAGTTTACCAGCTCGAGTCCCTTCTCCCTACAGGACTCCATATCTTAGAATCAGGTTGGAAAAGCCCTTTGGGATCACCAAGTCCAACCACCATCCCTACTCTACAAAGTTCTTCCCTAAACCAGACCCACCAACACCACACCCAGATGCTGGAGGACTCCACGCTGCATCACACCAGCAGCTGGCGCTCCTAAGGCACTAATGACATGCCCGATGATTTTGGTTTGCTTTGTTGTGTTTTTTTTCGGATTGATGGTGATGCCGTTTGGAAGTGCTGTCAAGGCATCTCTAATGAATAAAACTTGCAGGGCCGTGTAGCAGCCAGGCTGTCCATGCCACTTCTGGGAGGTGGCTGCCGAGTCCCTTGTGCTGCAGGATTTAGCCACCAGAGGGCTTGCTTGGTCAGTAACGCTTTGCTGAAGGGGAACTTGGTTTCCGCCTATCATTCTATTCCTGTAGCCTCAAAGAATCTTGCCTAACACTAGCGATTTCACAGTTTTCTCTTTCCCCGTAGACTGAATTTGACCATCAATATTAATATACAGAAATACACGTTTTTAAGTTGTTTTAACAGTTGTAAAGACCACACCAGAACATACTTTTACATTAGAAGTTGGGGTTTTTTTTGGTCTCCTCTGCCTATATGTACTATACAAGTATTTATTTTTAAAGGCTCTTATAATATAAATTCTCTTGTATGTATAAATGCTACCTGAGTCCAACAAATTAACTGAAAATATCATCAAAACTTGTAGTTATCTGCAAATCTGTAAAATATGATCAGTTGTATAATATCTAGATCAAAATGGAGTTTTCTCAACCTCCCAGAGTGCCAGGATGGCATCTGGGTTGTTATTGTTGCACCTGGGTGTTTATTTCCATGCCCAACAGTGTGTATCTTATTTGAGTAACCACAGGCTGGTTATTTTGTGATGTAGAACAGCATGAAACTTGCTGTAGGCTACTTGGCCAGCAGCCACTAGCCATGGCTAGTCACACAGCCTTGATGTGCATAGCCACAGTGGTTCTTTCCCAGTAGCTGCAATGCAAATAAATATCCTGTGGGTTGTGATTTTTTTTTGTTGTGTTGTTTTTTTTTTCCCTTTTCCAGACTTTTCAAGCTGTTTACTGCTGCTGTATCTGATGCATCTGTTACTTCAGGGATTTAAATGATGCAGAACCCCTTAGGAGATGTATGTAAGGCAGAAAGTGGGGCAATGAAATTATGCAAGGAAAAGTAGTTTAAAAAGCTGAAATGACAGAAATGGTTTCCTATGGTCATGCTCATCTGAAGCACTCATTTTGTCTTTTAAAAATAGGTGCTTACATTGAGTCAGGCTTGTCCTTTAACACTGACCAGTCTCACAAATCTGCTCTCAGTCCTGGCACTGAGAACACGTTTGTGCTCTCATAACTTAATTTGTCCTATCATTCAGGCATCTGTTTTTCAAATTAGCTTGAAGCACAACATTAATAAGAATATGGGGCAGTCTGAGAAAGAAGAGTTATGAATACCTGTTAGAGGGAAAGAATGGCAGGGAAAGAAGGTGAAATGGATGTGATGGGGAGACACACAATAGAGTTACTACTTATGTACTCTGTAGATTTTTTTCCTTTGCTCTTATTGAATATATAGACATTCAAAGAACATAATGTTATAAAAGAAAAAGTATTTTAAGATACTTCCTGTTAACTTCATGAAAATAATTAAAAACATATATTTAATCCAGGTTATGGACACTACTGAATGAGCAAGTTGATATCATCATCCTATTTCTGGGAAAACTTAATGAGGCACTGTCATGTAACTTAGACCCCTAAAATATTATGTGGTAAAGCCTAAAATTAGATTAAAAGATCAGCCTAAGATTAGATTTAAAATGTTTCTTCTTAATTTTGGGAGATGATAAGTAGTAAAGATAGTATAAGCAATTATATGAGCAATAATACAGAGATTTTGCAAAAAATGCCCTAGAACCGAGTCAATACTTTGCTGTTAGAAGGCAGACATGGTGGGATGTGTGAACAGGGTCCTTGTGTGCCAGGCATGTATCTTGTCTGTTTTACCTGGCTGAGTGAAGCCAGAAGGGGTCACACAATTTCCATAGTGGAGGCAAAACTGAACTTTGGGCTCTATAGTGCAAAGTCTTGCAGGGAGTTCCTTGTGGCTCCAGGCTTTGAAAAACTGAGAGAATCTGTGAAAATTTGGGGGACAAAGTGGGTGGGAATTGCTGCTTTTCTCTGCAGCAGTAGCTACCACACCTTGTCTCCTCAAGCAGGAACCACTCCATGTCTCCTGAAGCCTGCTTTAGTAGGTTGGACTTCAGCAGGTCCAACATTTTGCTGGTTGTAGAGACAAAAGAGACACAGGCAGTTGTCTCAGTTTTCAAACAGCTGATTGTTATCTACACAGGAAAGAAGGCGTGGGGAATGTAGCAAACTCCTACAGGAATGTTTTGTCATTGCAGTTGTTCCTGCTGTGACAGCCTACTCTTTATGTAAAAACCTACACCAATGCTTTTTCTGTGTCTGAAATGGGGTTTCAACTAAGTTCTGCTAACTCTGCTGAGCGAGCTACTGACTGCCTAGGGCAGAGTAACAAAAGGTCCAGGGGTAGATGTCTGTAAGAGAAACTGAGCAAGTGATTTTACCTAGGGAAAAGATGACTGAGGGGAGGAGACTTAATGGACTGAACAGTTTTTAAGTATTTAACAGACAGTTGCAAAAAGGACATAAACAGTCAAAATCTCTGCTTTGGGGCAGAAGAATAGACCTCCCAGTCCACCATCATAAAGCTCAATGTCAAGCTAACGTGCTTGTACTACTGTGAAAGTGCCAGGGAAGAAAACTTGGGCTCCTGGCTAGCCATGCAGCTTGTTGTGCTAAATACATGACATGAGCAAACAATGTGTACTTGCAGCCCAGAAGGCCAGTTGCACCCTGGTCTGCATCAAAAGCAGTGTGGTCAGCAGGGGAGGGAGGGGATTCTGCCCCTCTGCTCCACTCTCGTAGGACCCCACCTGGAGTGCTGTGTCCAGCTCTGGAGCCCTCAACAGGAGAGACATGAAGGTGTTGGAGTGAGTCCAGAGAAGAGCCACAAAAATGATCAGAGGGCTGGAGCACCTCTGCT